ACAACAGAAAAAAGGCAGTGGCGTACATGCTTTTTTAGAAAAATATTCCAGAGAAAACCCATATGCACGTCCCTGGTGAATATGTTGACATTTTTTAGGCTTAAAATATATCGCATTAATAGTAACTTTTACCCTCAAAACTTCATTCGAATCGCTAAAAGCACTTGGAAGAAAATTACAATAAATCGAAAAAATATTAAGACTTTAACACCCTGTAGCTACAAAACAAAGGAGAATCGATATGAAAAATAAATCTTGATATGAAAATTGATATGAAAAATAAATCTTATTTTTACGTGAGGAATCTGCCCTCGAAAGATGGTACATGCTTTTTGAAACACCCTGTATATACAGGGTGTACCAAAAATAAGTGCAAGTAATTCAACTGGTAGTATAGTTCAACCCCAGAAACACGCCTATGAGGTTTTTTTCACGGAATTTTTTTTTTTCAAAATACGAAATTTTTTGAAAATTTTTTTGTATTTTTTTTAGTTTTTTAATTAAAAAACATAATTTCTTGATAATATGGCATAACATAGGTATAACATATATATTATAGGGATAATAACATAGGTATTAGATTAAATTTACAAGAAAAATAATCCAGAAAAGATTCAGCGATTCTCAAAATTTTAGCAAAAAATCATGTTTTTTTCGAAATTTTCAAAGTAAAATAACTCCGTTATTTTGAACTTATTTGAAAAACGAAAAGGAGAAAATATGTTTCTTTTATCGAGATTTACCACCGCTTAAAATACTTGCACTTATTTCTGGGACACCCTGTATATTCGAAAAAATCGAAAACGAAAACATATTTTTCCAGCAAGAGAAGGCACCGCCTCAGAATGGTGAAGTAATCAGCAAATTTCTGCAGCCAATTTCGAGAATAATTAAATAGGTAACAAAGATCCCAGGCGTTGGATATCGAGGCCGGCGCGGCGGACTTATTTCCTATGAATTTTTATTTTTGCGGAAGAATAAAGGTTCTTATTTTTAAATTGTCCATATATAATCTAGGCAAGAATTAGAACTACTTATGCGAGGGTATCTTTCATCCCCACTGAGTTAATTAATTCCGCGAGAAATGTTCAAAAACGGCCCCGTCTGTCCATAACAGAAGACGGTTTACATATCGAACAACCAAAATCTCAAATCTTGCTT